ATAAGCCACGATGAGGACATCATTTCTACATACTATACAAGGACTGTAGTTTTGTTCATGGACTTGAAAGGACTGCACATTTTACCTATTACTAGCTAATCTTGTGTCCACTATATGTAATAACAATCTTTTCGCTCCAGCAGACAGATGGCGACAACAGCGAAATTTAATGGATAAAGAAAAAGTCTTCTGGAACACTTGGTTCGTGCACATCATGACTACCAAGGCATTCAATATCTATGCTTTCGGACCTAGGAATCACTACTCACGCTTCACGAAGATGTTTAATAACTTCCGCTCTTGTAGCGGGTCCTTCAGCGTGTATTGTGCAATGATTGCATGACCACGTTGTTCGGTCGTCTGGTATTGGGGGTATTCCAATGGAGACAAAGTAAGGAAGATCCCGCTGAGCAATGCCCCAGTGGAACTTGGTATCCGAATCGTAGTGGGCGATCTGTGAATGGCATAAGAAACCGAATTTCCAGTGAGATTGAGGGTACTCACGCATTCTCTCCAAGTACCCCATTTGTAGCAAGATGTACACTTGTAGAAACTTTCCGTGTTGTCTAAAACATTGGTATGGCTCTTTGATGGATCAGTTTGAGAATCTGACCCTCGGAGAAAATCAAGGATGGGGGCATAGTCTCCGTACTCATAGTTAGAGGCATCAGAGGTGTTCTCATCAAGGCAACTGCACTCTTCGCTATGAATATGTCGAACAACGGAGGAGAAGTCATTGTAAGTAGACCAACAGATCTTGCAGCGGATGTAGCCCATGGCATCCTCGGAGCGCGTCCCTATAATTTGGTCTCGATGTTCCTTGACAAATCGATCCATCTCTTTCTGCAACTGTTCAGAGTTCATGACTTGCTCCAGGTCGGTCGCAGCGATGTGAGCGTCGTTGGGAGCACCCAGTAAGCGCTCAAAGGAGGGAAGCAGGGCGATGGCGCAGATATTCGGTAGTTCCCGCCATTGTGCAGGACGAAGTGATTTTCTGTATTGCAAGAATACAGTCTCGATCATTTCGCGTCGCCGCTCGAGGACTGACCCGGAGTGGTCTTCGATAGTGTAGTCGATGGGGAGCCTTTTGAACATCCGAAGAATGCGAAAGCGATTCACTGCCGCAACCACTTTGGGCTTGATGTTATTCCAAACTGTCGAAGATATACGATCAGAAAAGGATGTATAACAACGTGGATAGCATACTTCTGTCAGTGAGTGGGGTACTTTGTGTGGCAGTGCGCTCGAAGTAAACCAGCTCCAAATCTTCTTCGGAGTATCCCATGTCAGTCAACCGACGTTTCACGCTGAAAACCATTAGCTGTAAATCCGGTACATACATGAAACGAAGAAAGAGGAACTCACGCGTCTAGCCTACTCATGCGTGTGGCCTGGATCTCTTCGCTGCGGGCAAGCTTCATTTCCTTCTGCCAGTTTTCACAAAGCTCAGCATGCTATCGAGTCAGAATTAAATTTTTGCAAACACCGAATTCGAGACGAGGAAACTCACTGCTTGCAGATACATCAGTTCTTCTTTCCGAGATTCTATGTAGGGCTCCCCAACGTAATAACACTGACCAAGAACCAACTCGACCTCGGATCGATTGAAGAGCGGTATATCTGTGTTGTTGGATACTGCACAAAAAAAGGTTAGACGCGACTGAGGGTACGCGCCGATCTCACGTACGATAAGTTGGTTGCATCAGTCGGGAGCAGGACATGAGGATATCATAAATTGATCCTCGGATCCCTTCGTATTCGCTCAAAATCTCAGTCGTTGTCATTGTTCTAAAGGATTGGACACATCATTCAAACACCAGGAGCATCAAAATATACGCCAGCACTTACGTTTCCCTTGTACACGCCTTGCATATTCTGCGCATCAACGCAAAGTTAACTTTGTGCACTCGAGTTCGACGGCAGACCTTTTTTTGATCAATATATCCTCTTTAGCTGACAGGTCTTGTCGAAAACTATCCACATACCTCACAAAACCGTGGACCAAATAACAACAACGCCCAATCCACCTCGTTTAAATGCTCCGGAGGCTCTGGTGCCCCACGAAGTAAGCGGGCCTTTCTCCATACTGCGAGATTTTCCGGAGAGCGAAGCGTGTCTTGAAATATTTTCGACACTTGAAGCAAGGTACAGAGCGTCTCTATGGGAAGGTGGCCGAATACCTTGGTGATATCAATTAGCTTTCAAGTCGTGCCCCCAAAATAGCTTGCACACCTCAAGCCACATATCCATGGGCAGTCTGGCAATAGACTGGCTCAGTTTACCCGCGTTCCGCGAGCCCTTTCCATTTTTGCGATTCTTGGTCGTTCTGGAGCGTTTTACAGCTCTTACGGGCCCCATTGATGGCTCTGAAAGGAGATGAGACTAAGAAGAACATTGTCGACACGGGAACTTGCCTTCGTAGTCACTATCTTCTTCCTTTCTAGTTCGTTTTCGAGGACCGGACATTTCTGCTTCGTCTTCTGAATACGGCTCGTCTTGGTATGTCATGTCGAGTTTGGCTTGAGCGGCGGAACGAAGGAGACGTGTCGATCTTTTGCAATCCATGGCTCGTAGCGAGGGAGAGAAATGGAAGGAAGCGAGGAGTGCTTAAATGTAGTTCACGAAACCATTGTTATCCGGTTTTGTTGGCCACCACTGCCACGAAAAGGTATAGCCATTGTCCTTCACTGGGCCACATCATAACTCGACATTGTCTTGGGCAACTGTAGGGAAACAATGAACAAAATACTATGGTAATGTAATGATAGGTACGTACAGTAGAAAAGTAGAATGCCCTGCGCCATTCCTTGGCAAGTCAAAGAGGAAGTGATTGAACGAAATGATGTGTGACATGCACAAGCAAGGTACTAGCAGCAATGAATGAACGGAAGCATGGTGGATAGAGGACATGGGTATCATCACACGCACAAGAATGGGTATAATAGAAATAAGGATAGGTAGCAACTGCAAAGAATGCTCAGTGGTCAATGCAGCGTCTCAGAGCACGCGACCAATCACCTTGTGTAGCGACTAGTGGTTTACTCTTCGCCTTTTGTATGGCATAGTTGGTTCGTGCATTTCGCGCTCGCATCCTTTGTCAGTACCATCCTCGTCACAACATGACCATCTGAAATTCTCCGGGAACTGCTTCCGATTCTCGTCTGTATCCATAGGACCGTGACAGTCTTCATCCCAATCGACGAAGCTTTCATAGTCGCATTCCAGATCTCCTGTAGAGACATTCTCATGAGACCGGTATCAAGGAGAAGCCGAAAACCCCGTACCTGTATGGAAAATGCACTCCTCTTCCTGACGCTCCGTCGTAACATCATATTCTTCTTTACACTTTTTGCAATAGCTGTATCGCGGCGCTAGTTCCTCGATATCCGACCCATCCCCTTCCTCCTCTGTCATCTTGCGCTTTGAGTTTTTAGGGCCTGCCACCACGAATTCTTTGGTCATGGCTCGCTCCACCGAGGGGACTTGTTCACATATTGCCATTAGGATGACACGCAGTCGTTCCACAGAAACTGTGTTTAGTGCAGCGCGTAGCTGTTCACGCGAGCGTTCGTTTATGACCATATTATCGTCCGAGTCGGATCCATCTTCGTCTGCTTCATCTTCATCGTCACTAGAATCCGAGGAAAGTCCCGTCAAGTCAATGACCTCTGCCGCTTCTTCAGTTGCGTTCGCCCTTGCGGGTTCGTTTTCGGCTTCGGTATTAGCAGGTAAGTGCGATTCGATAATACCAGTGGCCGTCAGAGACATCCTCGAGCTGGAAAGATGAAAGGCAGCTGAAGGGGAGATGGCGGAAAAAGACAAGGTTTTACACTGCCACGTGAGCGCCTGTTCCTTTCTTCCGTGACACCACTCGACCCTTTGTTGATCTTTTCTGCTGGACGTCGTTAGCTGGGTCTGGACCTTGCAAAAGGGATTTGTCTACGAGGGCCCAAGCACGAAATCCTCAAGATTCGATGTCGATATACATAATATCATTGGGCTCCTACTTTACCTCCGCGGGTAGTCTTTTTGCATCCATCAACGACTTGGAGCTCGGAGGATATGCCAATGGTCTCTACTCGAGAATCCTTGAACCTGGTTCAGAAGGAACATCGTGTGCCTTTAGTCGGATGTAGCTTATATTCCCGCGGTGGTAGCTCAGTGGTATGTAGAGCATTGATATTTGTTTTCGTAGCTCTGCGGTATATCTTCTCAAGGCGGACTCAAGCTGGGCCCGCTTCTAGTCAAATGCTTCGGTGTCACGCGCTGGCAATCGTAGACGGACTCTTCAAATTCGACAGTGGTCGTCCTTGTCTGAACAGGCCGGAAAATCGCAGGTGTAACTCAGTGGTAGAGCATTGATACGACTTGTTCTCTGATAAGTACGTTCGTTCGGACACGGTTCGGTACAAATGTAACAGTTTGATCCGTTCTAGCGGTGGTAGCTCGGCGCTGGATCAATGATTTCCCCCCAGCAGGCTCCCTGAGTAGCTCAGTGGTGGAGCATTGATATTGGCAGCTCCGTGGTAGAAGAAGATTGGCTTTTCTCGATCTGGAACCGAGTCCTTGAGTGCTATTACCTTCACAACTTCAGACGGAAACTGGATTCGCTTCAAGTTGTATTTCTTGACACCGTTCGAAACATCCGAATCCAAAAGCAGCCGCTGTCCTCGTCAAAATCTGAACAGGCCGGTGCATAGTCTTGGCTCTCTCCTACTATACTAAGGGCCAATTTCGGTGTTACCTGGCCGAACAGTATCGGAGACCAATGCAATGTAGACCCAGAATGGGTCATCAGATGCACACACTGCAGCTCTAGGTGCTACGTGCTTTTTTGTCTTCACTTCTACATCGAGACTCTCCGTTTAATCGTGTTACAAGACACTAAAGTCGGTCTAGACCTTGGTTGTGCATCTTTGGTTTGATACGAGGACTAATAAGACACGGATATCTTTGTTTAAGGGTACCTTCAAATTCCAATACATGCGTGACAAAACGATTGCTCACGGACGGGATCGAACCGCCGACCCTTGCATTCAGGTAGCCTCATAAGTACAATGCTCTAATCCTCTGAGCTACGCGAGCCTTGGCGTCAATTGGAAGTAGGTGCATATAGAAGCTCCCCGTGTATGGAAAGCAAACTCCTCGTACACTTTGTCTACAATGTTTACAAGATGATATACACTTCTGTCTACGAAAATATCTATGATATTATACCGGCGAGGTTACAACAAGTGGTGCGGTATGAGCTCGTAGTCACGCAGGGCGTCCCAAGATCCCCCTTAAATGGAGCTCTAAGTTTTCTCACTATGGCCCAGAGGGAAGATAAAATCACCTATCATTATGTCCACTTCTCAAAGCCCGGGCGCCCAATAGAGTCCTCAATCATCTTGACTGCACAATCAAGTGCACAGCAGATGTCTCTCTCTAGCAATTGTCTTTCCTCCGTGCTTAGCAGTGCCTTGGCTCTCCAAAAAGATTGCAGTGTTGCAAACTGGACTTTTCCCACAGGTGTTAATCCGGTTCCGTCAGGAGATACGTCGAGGGATGACTGAAGGTCGACGATCATCTTCTGAAGGATCCGCTGTGCGTCGTCGAGTTTTTGGCCTTGAATCGCGACCTTGAGAAACGTGATGGACGCTGCGAGTTGGACGGCGGGAGGCTCGTTTGATGCGGGGACTTCGTCGATATTGTCCTATGGTTCAAATGGATAGGTTAGCACAAAATGATCGTGACATTTTTCGAGCTTCGTACCCCAGCTGCAGGTCCCCCTAGCATCAAGGGATCTTCCGATGCGTCCGATGGCTGAGGGGACGGAAGATGCTTGTAGGGACGAGGCTGCGCGTGGTCGCCATCACGGATTGCTTCTTGATTCGCGTTGTTCTGCAGCATCTGCCTCTTCAAGAGCTGCTCGAGGCGTTTCTTTTCCATGTGGAGTGGACGCGAACAGTGGTGGTTATGCTCGTAACTCGAGCAGGGCGGACAAAGACGATGTTCGTGATTGAGAGTCGACGGCCTCAGTCGTCCGTCCGTCCTCTTACAATTTGTACACCCGGGCTCACGAGAGGGCTCGTCATTGTTCTAGAGTCGATTTAATGATTATTAACTAGGACCTTTTCATAAAGAACATGATCCATTTACCTCGTTTTGCATTCTGGACTTGGGAGGGAGCATTTGGGGGTAAGGAAGAAAAAGTGGATTTGTCGTCCTTGATTATTATGTAGAGCGCGCCAATAAAGCTAAAAAATCAATGTACTAGATTGACATTGTGATTCCTTTGATAGGTATGAACTGCAAGGGACCCTGCATGATGGTGAGCATAATTCTGATACAATTACTTCAAGCTCATGGGCCATGCGACGATCGAGATTCCACAATTTGCGGAAGTGCAGTGGACTATTGCTACCTTTTTGAGCTACAGGCATGGTCTATCGGGTGTCAGCGTTGTGGTTCTTCACGGTCGGAGAAGAGTGAGAAATTTTAGGCGCTGAAGAGATCCGTCATCGGCGCTTGATCCGATCCTTGTCTTCCGACCATCTTGACGCTCACCCGTCTGTGCTATGTACACATCTCTAACTCTCTAAGTCATACAAACTACGGCCCCAAGTTTTAGAATCTCAAAAGCTACTGTTTATCGCCCATGGGTCTCCTTGCCTCGCGCTTCCTTCTCGCCTTTTGGAGCTCCGTATCAGATTTTTTCAACCGGCCAGGGAGCGATGGTTCGGAATCTCAGAGGACCGCTCAAGCTTACAGTATGGAAATTGTAGTGGAAAATGGTGGGGGCATATCACTGGCGAGGTCCGAAAGCAACGCTAGTGAGTTCTCATGCGCATACATTACGACCTTTGACTAACACTTGCATAGGTCTCTGGGAAACCGATAAACAACGATTCCTTTGCAATCCTGAAATAGTGAGGACGAAATCACAAAAGCGCTTCCAGGACAAGAAGAAGAAACATACCAGGACTGACGCACGGAGTACCATCTCGCCGCCTGCGATTTGCGTTCAGGACTGGAGTTCCGTGCCCATCAAAATGTCTCAAATGTGTAGCTCTTCGCGCCGCAGAAATACACCACCGCCAGATGCATTGCTTCATCCCCCAGTCCATCAGCTGTCTGAAAGTCGTACCCGTACTCCTGTTGAAGAAATAACTTCCAATCTCCACGCACACGCCGACATCGACATCCAGCCAAGATCGACTATTCAACGCGTTATTCACTCACCGCCGATTCTCCCAGATTCCAACGACGTAAAAGGTGTTTCTCCCACGCAGACCGAAGCGTCCTCTGGATGTCAACCGGGCCATCAATTTTCCCCCTTTCCCGCGAGGTCCAAGTTGGATGTAGACTCAACTTCTGGTGCTCCCAATGTACGGATCCTTTTGCATTCCCATCCGGCACCTCCAGTACCCTCGCCTCCACGTTCCAAGAAGCCTACCTCCATCTGTTTTGCCTTGCCAGCTCAGCCTTATGCTTCGAATCCACTCTCAGCTGTCTCCGGTACCCTTTCCGACGTCGCTTTTGCCATACCAGGAAATTCAACTCCATTGCCACTTTTTACTAGCAAGACTGCTGGTAACAATCGGAACGCCGCTCTGTGGATGCTAGACTTCGAGACCACAGCGTTACCGTCGGATGACGGCCGCAGCGACGACGACCCTTTCAACCCTTACGACGAATTCGAAGCACAGCTCGCCAGCACTCCTCGCTTCAGCGTCATGCAATACTCCGATATCTTCGATTTCGACATGTACGAAGCGTTCGCAGGTTCGTGTGATAACCTCGCTGCAGCCGCCACGCAAGGTCCTGGGATAGTATCAACGGCGGAAAGTGAAGATGTCAGCTTATACACCGCCGAGTCGGGCGATGGAGACGAGGAACATTGTTCACTGACTGGATCACTCAATGAGTCGAGTCAGACGCCGTCCAAGAGATGTGCGAGGTTGTTCAGTGGGAGTGGAGTGCTGGGTAACCGAAAGACCTCGACATCACCTGTCAAAAGGAAAGACGTCTATCGGAATGCTGCGTACTCGAAGTCTGTAGGTACGAAGAAAACGGATCGTGCTAATCTGGGCCAAGGTTCTCCTGATGGCGGTTCCATGCGGAAAGCGGTCCTTCGGAGTGCGATGAGGAGAAGATCGGAGAAGATTGCTGCTGCTGCCTCAAGCGGGAGTATCAGTACTCGGACCGTTTCGTTCAAGGAAGACGTATCTCAAGACTCTATTTCGTCCAAAGGCTCGACTCAGGAAGGGTTCAATAGCTCAGTGGATAGTGCGATTGCGGATAGGTTACATGATGCGTGTCGGGATGTGGACGAATGGCATTGGACAGAGGAAGAATTCCTGAGGATGTTGAAGCCTACTCGAGTGTAACGATCCCTAGCTTGTTCATTCTATCTATCTGTCGCAGTGTACAGTATATGTTGTACTATATCTGTTTCTGTTATTATCATCTCAGAACGTCCATGCTGACGTATGAACGCGAAAGCGCCAACCTCCCAGTCGTTGAACACGTTGAGGCCTTTGAGCGCTCGTCTCGCTTTCTCTCCAGCTCCTCTCATACCATACAGCGACGCGGCCGATACCTCTTTTTCTTTACAGCACCACATCCACGGTTCATTTTCGACGCAAATTTCTCACCAAAATCCAGAAGTTCCGATGTCGAATAGTTGAGCAACCTATTGGGAATACATACAGAATATGGTTGGAGCACACCTTGGTATGTGCCCTGTTTTTCTCTAACTTCTAGAGCTGAAGTGTGTGGTTAGTCTGGTTTGAACGTCTTCTCACTTTAGACGTTGGATCGTTGAAACGTGCTGGCACCAGGCTGCTGCGACAACTCCCTTTCCACCTTCTCCATCGACAACGCTCCCACATCGACTATACCCAAGGCATTAGCCCAGCTTTTTTGCACAGTGTAATCAATAGTTCAGAATTCGAAGGAACCCATGACGAATCCTAGGCCACAATATCCTGCCGTACAAGAGACTACATGACAACATGAAACGACGATGATCATTTCTGTGGAAGTATTCAGCCAGGAACAGTCGCCCAGCGCGCTTTGGCAAGATATCATTCCCAGGCGAGCACGTAAAGGCAATTCAGTTGACGGAATTTGGGAGTCTGAGCTAACATAAAAGCACATAGCCTTGCATGGGTCCGATGACAATGTTCATCAGCACCGGCACGTTCTCTTTTCTCGCCGCGTTCGTTTTGGTTGCATGTCGAGCCCAGTCCCTTCCGGCATGTCGAATTTTACCAACTGACGGAGAATGGCCATCGAAAGATGTTTGGGATGCTTTCAACCAGACTGTGGATGGACGTCTCATTCGGACAGTGCCCATTGGATCCCCATGTCATGATCCTACTTTCGACGAGGAACAGTGTAATATTGTGCGAGAGAATTGGCATATCCCAGAGTTCCAGTAAGACTCTTAGTCGTGCTTGGTTCAATGTACGCTAACCTTTGCCTTACAGCCAGCCGAATCCGTCTTCCTTTATGGACCCGATCTTCCTAAACAAAAGTTGCGACCCTTTCGATCCGAGAGATACACTTTGTCAAATTGGTGCCTATGTCCAATATGCGGTCAATGTGTCCACGCCAGAACACGTCACGAAAACCATCGAATTTGTGAAGGAACACAACATACGATTCGTTGTCAAGAACACAGGTCATGAGTGTGTTTGTATCTATTCTGACAATCTAAACATGCTCATCATCTCCGCAGCTACATGGGAAGGTCGACGGGAACGGGAGCGATCTCCGTGTGGATGCACCACCTGACGGATATAACCTTTATTCCAGAATTCCAGTCAAGTTGGTATTCGGGTCCAGCCTTTAAGATATCGGCAGGCGTACTAGGGATAGACTTGGTCAGAGCAGCGTCGCAGAAGGGTCTGGCCATAGTAAGTGGGGAATGCCCAGTAAGTGCTATACAAGATCTCTCCGTTCCCATCTCATCTCTTTCATAGACAGTGGGTTTGGCTGGAGGTTACATGCAAGGCGGTGGTCATTCCATGCTGAGCTCATTCTATGGTCTTGCTGCCGACCAGTCGTTGGAATTTGAAGTGATTACGACGGAAGGA